GATAGAAAAACACCGGTATATGCTTGCTTTTTGGATCTGTCTAAAGCGTTTGATCGAAACCAGTTTAAAGCCTGAGCTAATCGCTTTGTTCGAGTATTGGTATGGTAACCAGAAAAATGTGGTGAGATGGGATGATGCGTTGAGCGAAGATTATAGCCTGGGGTGTGGAGTACGGCAGGGAGGACTGACGTCACCTAGGCTGTTCAATTTGTATGTAAATCAACTGATTGTGAGCCTCAGTAGAGCTGGTGTCGGTTGTTCGGTAGATGGGGTCTGTATAAACAACATTAGTTATGCTGACGACATGGTTCTGTTGAGCCCCTCAATTAGTGGTCTTAGGCGATTAATACAAATTTGTGAAGGGTATGCTAAGGTACATGGACTCAGTTACAACTCCAACAAAAGTGAGTTTCTTGTGTTCAAGGGGAAAAATAAGCTACCCATATTGAAACCCACCTTTCAACTATGTGGGTGTCCCCTTGAACAGGTTACTGAGTTCAGGTACCTTAGCCATATAGTAACCGACAGCCTGAAGGATGACAGCGACATTGAACGCGAGCGCCGGGCGCTGGCGGTGAGAGGCAACATGTTGGCCCGCAGATTTGCACGGTGTACAAAGCAGGTTAAGATAACGTTGTTTAAAGCTTACTGCCAATCATTCTACACGTGCAGTCTGTGGACGGGCTATTCGCAGCGGACCTACGGCGCCCTGAGAGTGCAATACAACAATGTGCTGAGGGCGGTGTTGAGGAAGCCGCGAAACTGCAGTGCGTCGGCAATGTTTGCGGACAGTCGTGTGGATGACTTCTACGCGATTGTGCGAAAGCGTGCCGCGTCCATGATGAGCAGGCTTGTGAGAAGCACTAACACCCTCCTCAGCGCGTTGGCCTCTAAGCTAGACAGCCCTCTCTGGAGGAGCTGGAATGATGTGCACACCGGCACTAGGCCTCAGCGCCCACGCTGGTGCTGAATAGGTTAAGGTAGATTTAGGACTAACATAGTATAAGTAAATCACTAACACATTTTGTATTAACATAGTTATATAAGTTAATTGTTTACTAACACATTTTTATATGGACTATGGTCTGAATTAAAAATATATTATTATTATTATTAATCCGAGTATCCTTTCCTCGGTTCCCATTGTGACGGCCCAATATTATTATTAATAATTAAATTCAATATAAAGGGGCCGTCAAAAATAGTCTTAAAATATAAAAAATAAAATTACATTAATAACCATAAAGTTAATATAAATACATTTCAGACATTAGACCAATAACATAGTAAATTAAAGGCAAAGTATTCTACTTTTTACTTTTAATGGGGAATTTTATTGTGCAATAAATTAATACTACATAACAAATTCCAGGAAAATATGTGCAAGACCTATCTGAAAAAGTTAAAATTTTGTTAAACAAAAATTGTTTAATAAGTGATATTATGCTACTAAAGAGAACATGTTTAATAACAACCCCTGGGAATGCGGTGATAGCTACTAATTCTGTTCCACATGCATAATCGACGCGCATGTTATGCCGTGTAGTGGCGGTTGAGAATATCCGCTACCCCATATCTTCCCGTGGGTGTCGTAGAAAATGTAAGATTTTCTATATCTAATATTTTTATAGTTCCCGGCGATGAAGAAAAATATCGCAAGAAAATCCGCATAACTGAAAATATCGTAATATGTTATGTTATTCATACACTCTTATCTACATATCACACAAAACCCCACGATATTTATACCCCACGATGATTGATATCTAAATTAGCATGCACGCACGCACGCACGCACGCATGCACGCACGCACGCACGCACGCACGGACGGACGGACGCATGGACGCACGCACACACGCACGCACGCAAGCACGCACGCACGCACGCACCCACGCACGCACGCACGCACGCACGCACGCACGCACGCACGCACAGCACGCACGCACGCACGCACGCACGCACGCACGCACGCACCCACGCACGCACGCACGTCGCACGCACGCACGCACGCACGCACGCACACACACACACTTACACACACACACACACACACACACACACACACTTTTTACTTTGTTAACCTATATGTTATTTTAATGATGTCATTCTAATTAATTTTTTTACCGTTGCTGTAATAGTTTGTCACATTACAACTATGTGTCGCTGAAACAGGGAAGATGCTGTAGTCTGTAACACAGTTTTCAACTACCACGGGCTTTAATATGATAATTTAGTAAAAGTTATGTGAGAAACAATAAATTATTATTATTATTGGGGGTGTCAATATAGTTTTCTCATCCGGTTGGGTTCTATAAATATACAGTGTGTCCGGTCACGGACTAGCGATATTTTAGGTACTTATAATACAGCTATTTTAATATAAAAATACACTACACACTGAGGTCTAATCCCCTCCCCCTCTATTTGGCAGCCATTTTGTTTTTCTCTTGAGATATTCTCTACGCGTTTACGAAAAAAGTCATATCTCTCAAAGTTTTAGTCCTACTGAGGTAAAAATTAACTCATTCGGAGGCCAATAATATTTTTTATCGTTTGCATTATCAAAATTTTTGTTGACATACTTGTAACGTTGAAGAAAAAAATTTAACTTCAAATAAATATCAAAAAATATGCTAATCGGCAAATTATTGTAAATATTGCAAAAACAACCCCGTTCACCCTTTTTATTTTTATACTAGATCGACAGATTTTGAGTTAAGCTACAATTCAACATAAAGTTTACAGCTGTATGTTTATTACTTTAAGAATTATATTTGTTTGAACATGGCGTATGCCCAAACACAAAAGGCCTTTGTTAAGTGACAACTGGCACTGCATGCCTAGGAGTAATAGTGTTCTGTGCTGCAAATTATACTACTTATAAATGATGATTCTGATTCTGTGATCTCTCATTCATCATCTCTAATTCATCGAAGATCATAAGTAATCTCAGATTACTATTACTCCTAGGCAGGCAGTGCCAGTTGTCATTTAACAAAGGTCTTTTGTGTTTGGGCATATGCTATGTTCAAACAACAATAATTCTTAAAGTAATAAACATACAGCTGTAAACTTTATGTTGAATTGTAGCTTAACTCAAAATCTGTCGATCTAGTATAAAAATAAAAAGGGTGAATAGGGTTGTTTTTGCAGTAATTTACAATAATTTGCCGATTAGCATATTTTTTTGATATTTATTTGAAGTAAATTTTTTTTTCTTCAAAGTTACAAGTATGTCAACAAAAATTTTGATAATGTAAACGGTAAACAATATTATTGGCCTCCGAATGAGTTAATTTTTATCTCAGTAGGACTAAAATTTTGAGAGATATGACTTTTTTCGTAAACGCGTAAAGAATATCTCAAGAGAAAAACAAAATGGCTGCCAAATAGAGGGGGAGGGGATTAGACCTCAGTGTGTAGTGTATTTTTATATTAAAATAGCTGTATTATAAGTACCTAAAATATCGCTAGTCCGTGACCGGACACACTGTATAATTATAAATGAAAATGAAAAGATAAATATACATAAATATCAATAATATAAAATAAATATAAAAATACATATATTAATAAAAGCCCAACCAGATGGAGGCCCTCGGCACAATATCAGGCTTATTCGCAAGAATAGTCCTGTCTGTGATGATGGCACGGTCCCAATAGAGCTTGGCGCGATCATTTATGAGCACGGCTTCCGGCAAGTACTTGTAATACGGCAATTTCCGATCCACGAGACCGTATTTCAGAGGGAGGCTACTGTGCCTACGAAAGGCTCATGTAGAGCCTTGTAAAACCTCCCGTGGAGCTCCTTCTCCTTCCACACGGTCTCCCGGTCGGAAATGCTCTGCACTACCGGGTATTGCCATTGCTCGTTGGCTAAGGATAGAGGGGTAAGTCCTTTATCACAAGAAATGAAGTCCTTATAGAATGGATTATCCGATCTCGCCAGAAAGTAATCACGGAGGCTGCACACTTCGCGATTATGCACGGTGAGCGCGCTCAAGAAGCCACGCCCACCAAGCTTTCGCGGCAAGTAGAGCCTCATTACCGACGATCTCGGATGATGCTTCCTATGGGACGTCATGGTAGTGCGGACTTTTCTATCCAGGGCGTTAAATTCAGTCTGAGTCCACCTGACTATGCCAAAGGTATACATGAGGACAGGCATGACCCAGCCGTTATGTTCGTGTGCCTTATTCACACCGGACAAAAGGCTGTTAAGCACTTTGGTCAAGCGTGCATAAAACACTTCGGAAACTGACTGTTTCATACCAGCCTCATCGATACCGATGTTCTGTGACACCCAGGTATCGGTATGTTTCAGCCTCGGAAAGGGTTCTTAAGTTGACGGGCATAGATATGTCTATGCCCTCAGAGTTAGCAAGCCTTCCCCTTTCAACATGGAGGACCGCACATTTATCCGTCCCCAGCTCCATTCCAATGGCATTGCTAAATTCACAAGTGATGTTTAGCAATTCCATAAGATGGGAGCGACTGGAGGCGAATAACTTGAGGTCATCCATATAGTAAAGGTGGGTCACTTTTGTCCCTCCTTTCCGTAGCTGAAATCCCTTCCCGGAGCCCTCCAGTAAGGTACTGAGAGGGTTCAGAGAGAGGCAGAACCAGATTGGACTCAGACAATCGCCTTGGAATATACCCCTTCTTATCCTTATGTGGTTCTCCGCAGCCATCATCCGCTTGCCCAGATGACAAAGGATCGTACTCTACTGCCCCATACACTGTTCGAGAAAGTCTCTAACTGTACAGTCTATCTTGTACAGCTCGAGGACTCTCTTTAGCCATGTATGGGGCACCGAGTCGAATTCCTTTCTGTAGTCAATCCAGGCGGCGGAGAAGTTCCGACGGTTGCGTTTTACCACTTTGCCAATGATCGCGTCAGTGAGGAGTGGTTCCTTGGTTCCACGACCACCGCCCCGACATCCATTTTGAGCGCGCGACATCACCTGATTTGAGTCCAGGTGACGAGTAACTCTCGCGCTCAAATGGATGTTAGTGTCTTGTATATGGTCGGTATACAAGTGATAGGGCGGTATTTGCTCGGGTCTGTGGTACCCTGGTCTTTAAGAACCAAATGGGTGATCCCAGTAGTTAAGAGGCTTGGGAGCGACTTCTGATTGGGAGCCTCTTGAAACTGTTGGGCGAGCACAGTGTGACACACCACGAACTCCTTCAGCCAGTAGTGATGCAGCCCGTCGAGTCCCGGACTTTTCCAGTTCGGGGCCCTACGGACCGCCTCAGCTACGTCATCCGGTGTTATAATGACGGGGTCCATGGGCGTTAAACTCACACACTGACTCGCCACAACTTCCGTCCAAGGGCCCTCGCTGTGATTTACGGGCTCTGACCACAGGCCGCGCCAGAATGCTACAGTGTCGGCCTGATTCGTTGCTGGGCCCGTTCCACTTAACATTGGTCGCTCCAATGATTCATAGAGCCTCTTCTGATCAGTGTGTGGCAGTTTTTGCGTTATATCCGGCTGGGACAAACTGACATTTCTCCCAGCAAACGCCATCCTGACGGTGCGCACAATTCTTGGCCTGTTATTGCCTGATCTGAAGCATATCAGTCTGCCGATGAGAGCTTTAGCCTTTGCGATACGTACCTCAATTCTTCTTCTCCATGCTGGGATAGCGCTACTTTGGCCAGTAGCGCGTCTAACCGTAGAAGCCTTGGTGCCTATGATACGGCAGACTGCCAGCGCGGCGCCAAAAAGAATTGAGTTCGTCTCGCAAAGGTCCCGGCTGGCTTCCAAATAGGTCACCAGCATTGGGTTCGGAGCCCTCACGACAGCCCGATTTCGCTTACTTAGGGCTATGCGAGGAACTCGCGGTCGATTTTCGAGAGGGGTACTTCGCGTTTCCGCAATCGCCTCTTCCAATGTACTCCTCATATGCTCTAATTCCAGTTCCTGGGCGACTGTTCCATCGTCGTTTGAATCAACCACAACTGGGGTATTCATGGCGGCATCCACGTTTGTGGATTGTTCTACAATTTGTGGCGCCGCATCCTCAGCCGTAGCATTTTCATACGATGAGGGAACAGCCTCACGTCGTTGCCGTTCGAGTTCGGCGAAATCAAATATATTTGAGCGTAAGATATACGGAACTCGGTCTGCCAGGTTTTGCTCTGTGACGGTTAAAGATGGCTCCAGCTCAGCAAAAAGACGATGCATCCTAGCCCGATACGCCAAACATCCAGTTTCTTCCCCTTTTGCCCTAAAGTACGCCCGCAGTGCGTTTGCGTTCATTGCTTGTGACCAACGCATGCGACGTGCTCCACCAGCGGCGGGTGCCGTTTGCTGAGTCCGAGAAGACCCAGCTGACACCAAGCCTTCTGGTGGGGATGATGGATGCGGAGGGCTGCTAGGTGACCGTGCAGCTCATCGCGCTCGGCTGGCGGCCCGCATGCTGCCGCGTCCAGACGCGCCCCGGCGACCCCCAGGCAGCGGCCCTTTGCGCACTATCTTTTTATCCATCATCCATTATTTGGGCGTCCATTAACGGGAAACGCCCAGGCTCGGCACCGTATCGTGTGTGGCCATAAGCACAAACGGGCCTTTGCACCCTAAATTCTGCCGAGGCACGGCGCTCACACCTCTCGCAAGGCGCTGACAGACTGCGTTGACGTAGCAGTTTTGTCACTTAACTGTTACGACAGCGGGCGATGGAGTCGTCAATTCCCTACGCCATTTTATTATTATTATTTTTATGTTATTAATAGAGTAATCACATCTGGTTGAGCTGGATAAATATATAAAGTGAAAAATAAATATACTTAAATATATATTTAATATACTAACATAAATAAATAAATATTACATAAATAAATAAAAGCCCAACCAGATGGAAGCCCTCGGCAGGGGAGACCAAAAGGCCGAAGGTTAGGGGGAAAGGGAAAGAAACCGGCGGACGATGCGGGCGGTATCGAGGAGCCCCGCCTTCTGCATTTGAGCCCGGATCGGTCCGTCACGGAGTCCCAGTCGCCTCAGATGGCCCGAGGGGCTGGCTGGGATTAACCCGTTTGCAGACACGACTACAGGAATAATTTCGGTCGGCAGACCACCCCACATGTCGGTCACCTCGTGAGCCAGGTCCAGATATTTTGATTGCTTGTCTGTTTCGGCTTTCACGAGGTTCTCGTCATACGGAATGGTAATGTCGACCAAAACTATCCTTGACTGTGTCCGGTCAAGGATATTTTCGGCGGCTTATTCGCAAGAATAGTCCTGTCTGTGATGATGGCCCGGTCCCAGTAGAGCCTGGCGCGGTAACTTTCGAGCACGGCTTCCGGCAAGTACTTGTAATACGCCAACTTTCGGTCCACGAGACCGTATTTCAGAGCGATCTCCTGGTGTATAATTCTGGCTACTAGGTTGTGCCTGTGCAAGTACTCAGAGTTAGAAAGCGCCGAACAACCGGAGATGACACGCCTAAGGTATTTATATTATTATATTATTCATACACTCTTATCTATTTATCACACAAAACCCTTTGCAGCATGTGCCCAGCAGTGGGATGTATGAAGCCTGCTACTTTTTACTTTTAATGGGGCTTTTAATTTTATTGTGCAATAAATTAATACTACATAACAAATTCCCGGAAAATATGTGCAAGACCTGTCTGAAAAAGTTAAAATTTTTGTTAAACAAAAAATATTTAATAAGTGCTATTAAGCTACTAAAGAGAACATGTTTAATAACAACCCCTGGGAATGCGGTGATGGCTACTAATGATGTTCCACATGCATAATCGACGCGCATGTTATGCCAATGACGTCACTACATCCGTATGTATAGAGGTCAATCCGATCCCTAAACTAAAAGAGCAGAGCGGTTCATTGCATGTATCGCATTGTAATTATGTAAGACTTCTATGAGTAGGCAGAGTTATTATAATACTAGCGACCCTTTTCCTCTTTTTGGGTAAAGGTTAGTCTAGATCACTCCTGGCATTGCTTTCTATTTGTTCGTCAAATTTCATTACAATCGGTGGAGCCATTCAGAAGATGAGCTCGGACAGACAGACAGACAATATTTTTAAATGGGGTCATCCATGCCTTATTGCATGAAAATAAATGTTCTGTTAATAGTGTGCCGGACGGGCGAAACTCTCCGGAGTAAATGTTGTCGAATATACTTCGCGAGTCGCTCACGTCCTACACCTATAGGTTCCGGTGGGTACTTTCACTGCCGTCTTTGTGCGACTAACAGCGCACTGCGAATAACAGTGACGACCTTTTTCGGCTAGCTAACACTTTCACTATTCGCTATTCACTATATACTGCTACTAGTCACTTCAGCTACTACCGGATACCACTGCTTGTCACTGGTAGTTCTTCACACTACTACTGGTACTGGGTCACGAGCCCCTAAGGTAGATTTTGGCTATACTTTACAGTGAGCCGCTTGCCATTTTCCGTTTTGCCTCTTTATTGCATAAACTTTTCACTATGCAAATTGCATAAATTACAATATTTTCTGTACAAAACTAATTGCTACACTAATATGCTATACATCATCAAATCGGTAGTCTGGTACTTTATTAGTATATCATAAAGGTTACTCAAAACATTAACATTGTAAAAAGTTATTAAATGAAATGTCCCAAATTTTCATAATATTTGGGTACATTAATTCTTTGATTTTTCTATAACTACGAAATGCGTTTAATTATACAAAATATTCCAACACTTCCTTAATCTATAAGCTATATGCTAATTCAATACCATATTTACAACTCTTTTAGAACATAAAATTATTTTCTTTATTTTTAGTATGAACTATTACGCAGTTAATTAAAAACTTCTAGAGAGTTCTACGATAAGACACGCTGCGATTGGTCGATTTTTCTTAATATAATAAAAGTTGTTTATATCACTTGTTATCGAAACGACATTCTATACAAATATACTAAGAGTTATAAACATGCTACACAACTATATTAATACACGTTTTCACCCAGTTTTGTCGGCAATTTCACTATTATTACAAAAAACGATATTCTTTATCATTTTGTTTCTTAGCGTTGTTAGGCCGTCGCGAACAAATAGCATCGGTAAATAGTAAAAAAAGTTATGTTTATACCATAAAATAGAAATTAATTCGATGTAAGAATTTTATCAAAGAAAGAGAAGAAAATACGCTGCGTTCATGTCCTGGTTTGTTTTCTTACACCGTAAATACACGCATATTGGAACACATTTACACACATTGGAATCATTCAAATGTATAAAATTTGGTGCAAATACAAATCAAATTATCATTATTTCCACGTGCACGTTATATATATATATATGTGTTTGTGTGTATGTGTGTGTGTGTGTGTGTGTGTGTGTGTGTGTGTGTGTGTGTGTGTGTGTGTGTGTGTGTGTGTGTGTGTGTGTGTGTGTGTGTGTGTGTGTGTGTGTGTGTGTGTGTGTGTGTGTGTGTGTGTGTGTGTGTGTGTGTGTGTGTGTGTGTGTGTGTGTGTGTGTGTGTGTGTGTGTGTGTGTGTGTGTGTGTGTGTGTGTGTGTGTGTGTGTGTGTGTGTGTGTGTGTGTGTGTGTGTGTGTGTGTGTGTGTGTGTGTGTGTGTGTGTGTGTGTGTGTGTGTGTGTGTGTGTGTGTGTGTGTGTGTGTGTGTGTGTGTGTGTGTGTGTGTGTGTGTGTGTGTGTGTGTGTGTGTGTGTGTGTGTGTGTGTGTGTGTGTGTGTGTGTGTGTGTGTGTGTGTGTGTGTGTGTGTGTGTGTGTGTGTGTGTGTGTGTGTGTGTGTGTGTGTGTGTGTGTGTGTGTGTGTGTGTGTGTGTGTGTGTGTGTGTGTGTGTGTGTGTGTGTGTGTGTGTGTGTGTGTGTGTGTGTGTGTGTGTGTGTGTGTGTGTGTGTGTGTGTGTGTGTGTGTGTGTGTGTGTGTGTGTGTGTGTGTGTGTGTGTGTGTGTGTGTGTGTGTGTGTGTGTGTGTGTGTGTGTGTGTGTGTGTGTGTGTGTGTGTGTGTGTGTGTGTGTGTGTGTGTGTGTGTGTGTGTGTGTGTGTGTGTGTGTGTGTGTGTGTGTGTGTGTGTGTGTGTGTGTGTGTGTGTGTGTGTGTGTGTGTGTGTGTGTGTGTGTGTGTGTGTGTGTGTGTGTGTGTGTGTGTGTGTGTGTGTGTGTGTGTGTGTGTGTGTGTGTGTGTGTGTGTGTGTGTGTGTGTGTGTGTGTGTGTGTGTGTGTGTGTGTGTGTGTGTGTGTGTGTGTGTGTGTGTGTGTGTGTGTGTGTGTGTGTGTGTGTGTGTGTGTGTGTGTGTGTGTGTGTGTGTGTGTGTGTGTGTGTGTGTGTGTGTGTGTGTGTGTGTGTGTGTGTGTGTGTGTGTGTGTGTGTGTGTGTGTGTGTGTGTGTGTGTGTGTGTGTGTGTGTGTGTGTGTGTGTGTGTGTGTGTGTGTGTGTGTGTGTGTGTGTGTGTGTGTGTGTGTGTGTGTGTGTGTGTGTGTGTGTGTGTGTGTGTGTGTGTGTGTGTGTGTGTGTGTGTGTGTGTGTGTGTGTGTGTGTGTGTGTGTGTGTGTGTGTGTGTGTGTGTGTGTGTGTGTGTGTGTGTGTGTGTGTGTGTGTGTGTGTGTGTGTGTGTGTGTGTGTGTGTGTGTGTGTGTGTGTGTGTGTGTGTGTGTGTGTGTGTGTGTGTGTGTGTGTGTGTGTGTGTGTGTGTGTGTGTGTGTGTGTGTGTGTGTGTGTGTGTGTGTGTGTGTGTGTGTGTGTGTGTGTGTGTGTGTGTGTGTGTGTGTGTGTGTGTGTGTGTGTGTGTGTGTGTGTGTGTGTGTGTGTGTGTGTGTGTGTGTGTGTGTGTGTGTGTGTGTGTGTGTGTGTGTGTGTGTGTGTGTGTGTGTGTGTGTGTGTGTGTGTGTGTGTGTGTGTGTGTGTGTGTGTGTGTGTGTGTGTGTGTGTGTGTGTGTGTGTGTGTGTGTGTGTGTGTGTGTGTGTGTGTGTGTGTGTGTGTGTGTGTGTGTGTGTGTGTGTGTGTGTGTGTGTGTGTGTGTGTGTGTGTGTGTGTGTGTGTGTGTGTGTGTGTGTGTGTGTGTGTGTGTGTGTGTGTGTGTGTGTGTGTGTGTGTGTGTGTGTGTGTGTGTGTGTGTGTGTGTGTGTGTGTGTGTGTGTGTGTGTGTGTGTGTGTGTGTGTGTGTGTGTGTGTGTGTGTGTGTGTGTGTGTGTGTGTGTGTGTGTGTGTGTGTGTGTGTGTGTGTGTGTGTGTGTGTGTGTGTGTGTGTGTGTGTGTGTGTGTGTGTGTGTGTGTGTGTGTGTGTGTGTGTGTGTGTGTGTGTGTGTGTGTGTGTGTGTGTGTGTGTGTGTGTGTGTGTGTGTGTGTGTGTGTGTGTGTGTGTGTGTGTGTGTGTGTGTGTGTGTGTGTGTGTGTTTGTGTGTAATCGGAATCTCGGAAACGGCTCCAACGATTTTCATGAAATTTAGTATGCAGAGGGTTTCAGGGGCAATAAATTTATCAACAATGTCATTACAATACGAAAGTAAATTTTGCTGGTGCTTGAAAGGTTAACAGCTCGAATGGGATATCGGGCGGTGATGTAATCATAGAATAGAGTCCATTATTAGTCCAAATATCTCCGGTTTGACTCATTTTTCCTTCTTTTGTGAGAAAATATATTATTTGGAGCCCTTTTTTTACTGTATACATTTTTAATAACGAAAAATAATGATCGAATAGATCGAAACATTTTATTCGTATTTCATCAGTATGTAATTCTTATCTAAATATAATTTCATTTATCCAGGTACTAAAATATTATATCAATATTTAAATAATCATATTGTAATTTATCCATTCACTTCAAAACTGTACCCTCAACCTTCTGTTTTTTACTGTTATTATTATTTACATGTCCACTTACGTTATAATAAAGAGAAAAAAAAACAGAAAGAGCAAAGTGCCCGGACGAACGCCTATCAACTTTGTAAAAAACCAACTGTTGATACAAAATGTGTGACTTGTCTTTTTCCAATTTTAAATATTAAGTTTATTTGGACAACATGTAATTTTTTCAATTTTGAAAAATTATAAATATTTAGAGAACTCGGCAGGTCCGCCAATATAAACTTGACTTTGTAGAACCTCATTTACTCCAAACCTAGTAGCAGAAGTTAGCTTATGCAAGCTGTTACTTAACATAAATCCTAGTTTGTATATTTAAAAACAATAAAATATCCATCTGGTACGGGAAAATAAAATATTTGAACAAATAATAATAAACGTTTGTACTTCTTTTATTTACAAAAATACACATTACTAACTATTCAAACTATTGTGTTGTGATGTTCTATCAGTACCCATAGGGTCCATTACAACCGCAACCGCAGCCACATCTTCCAGTGATGGACACCACACCACCAGCAGGAACATCACCTCCGAACCGCACAGCACCAATGATGGGCACCTGACCTGCGACAAGAGAAGTACCGACGACAGACATCTCGCTAGTGATCGTTACTATATATACCAGCGCCGCCGTAAGCCGGGCCTGCACCATACGCAGCGGGACCAGCCAGAGCAGCTGGACCAGCGAGACCGTATCCATATCCATAACCAAGGCCGGGAGCAAAGCCAGAACCGTAAGCTATATCCGCCGTAAGAGAGGCTCCGCAACCGAGCTCATTTTCAGCGACAATAGGCTGAGCATACCCCAAGCCGAGTCCGGTGTCCAAACATTGGCAGTAGGTATTCTAAAAAAATTAAAACAAAACGTTATAAGGAATTGAACCTTACAAAATATTTTGCAAAATTGGATCTTTATAACATAAGCGATTATAATATCTCGACTGTTAGAACACACTTTAGTGCCAACTATTTAGACGTAAAATAGTACTTTTGCAGTTACCTGAATAAAACACACTTGTGCACAGAGTAGGAAAAAGGTAAGAGGAGACATTGTATATCAAACGTGTTGCAAGGGGTCATACACTGAATGCGTTGTTTGCATTTGACTATTACTTTTATAACAACAAAATTATTGAAATTTCATAAAATATACAGCGCGTACGTGAGGCATGAAACAAATAGTTTCATTACATTTACATTATTTTATTTTATTTAGATTATCATACTTACCCATAAGAAACACGGTTAACGTACGACCGATTACTTGAAACAGGTCGCTTATCTGACCAATATTAAAGTGCTTATTCCAAATTACACAAGGACGGGTTCCTATACTAAAAACATCACTCCCCTTATTTTGGGGACGAAATGTGAAAACGGTGTTATATCATTAATTTTAATGTTTTGTAACGACCGTTTTTGTAGCAACATATTCTAAGATATATGAAATGAATATAAAATTTCTATTATCTTATTATTCTTTTTAAAACATTAATTTATTTCTTTTAGTACAGCCAGAGTTAATTACATTAATACATGTTCGAAAAAAATAATATACGCTAATATTCAATGAAAACCTATTTGGCAATAAAATTTCGTAACATCAATAATAAAATATTAGAAACATAACCTAAAAATAAATTAAAAACTAAGAAAAACCAAAAATAAGACGGGAAAAAATGACAATAACAAAGTGTGCCGGACGGGCGAAACTCTCCGGAGTAAATGTCGTCGAAGATACTTCGCGAGTCGCTCACGTCCTACACCTATAGGTTCCGGTGGGTACTCTCACCGCCGTCTTTGCTATTCATATTCTTTTCATCAAATACTCCAGGTGTCGGTAGTCTCGCAGATCCTCCTAAAAGGAAGTGATTTGGAGTGATGGATTCGTCGTCGTCGCTGTCTACAGAGATGTGAGTCAATGGTCTGCTATTTACTGTGTACTCCACCTCGCAGAGCAACGTGGCTAATACTTCCTCATGCGGATGTCTCTTATGAAGGACGGTGTATAGTGCCGTCTTCACGCACCGTATGAGACGTTCCCTCTTGGTTGGTGTTTTGTGCAGCAAATTGATAGGAAGTCGGGCGAGCTTTAGGTTGAAGCTCAGCTGATCGGTACCCGGTTTCCAGATTAATCCGAGTATCTTTTCCTCGGTGCCTTTGTTTCCCAGATCGACTGACTCAGATGCTTCATGGTCAGGTTCTAATTCTTTTACAACTTCTGGTGCGTTGGAAACCCATTTTCTTAAGGTGAAGTGCGCGTTTTTGTGTATGTCGCGTACTTCCTTCGATATTCGCATTGCCTCTTCCAGAGACTGGAAACTGTCGAGATAGTCATCCATATAGTGGTTTTGAATGATAGCTTCTACGGCTTCTGGATACTTGTCTATGTGTTTTTTAGCGTTCCAGTTCTTCGCGAATATGGCTGTGCAGGGTGAACTGGCTGCACCGAAAATGATCGACGTCATTCTATATTCTTGTGGAGCTTCATTACGTCGATCCCCTCTCCAGAGATATCTTAAGGCATCTCTGTCTTCGGATCTAACTTTGACCTGCATGAACATTTCGGCTATGTCCGCGGAGATAGCGATATTATGGCGACGAAAACGCATCATGACCCCTGGTAGTGATTGCAGTAGGTCTGGACCCGTGAGCAGGAAGTCGTTCAATGACACTCCCTTTGTTTTGGCTGCGGCATCGTGTACTATTCGAAACTTCTCTGGCTTCATTGGGTTATGGACGTTGAAATGAGGTAGGTACCATATTCTTCCCGGTGTGCTAGTTTTCGGTGCTATCTCGGCGTATCCCTTTTGTACTAGGGAATTCATTTGTTCATCATATTTCCTTTTTAGATCTTCGTCTCCATCTAATTTTCTTTCAATGGAAACGAGCCGTTTTATTGCTGATTCATAATTACCAGGCATCTCGATATCCTTTTTCTTCCAGAGAAGCGCTGTTTCTATGTGCCCGTCTTGTAACTGACCGGTGCTGCTATTTAATATATCTTCAGCTTTCTTCTCTGGGTCGGAGTCTGGTCTTCTCGGATTGATAATGAGAGATTCCAGCGCGAAATATTCGCGGAGTTGGTCATCTATAGTCCCCTCGCTCTTGTGCAGCTCATTGGCCGCGTGGACGCGCTGATACGGGGCTTTAGTGTGTGCCCCGTGTAGCACCCATCCTAATTCTGTGAGCGAGGCAATTGGCTGGTGCGGTGGACCTCTTCGGATTTGAGTGGCTATCAGAAGTCTCCAATTATCCTGTCCTATTAGGATCCTTGGGTTGCCGGAGTCACATGTTAGCTGCTCCTTTAGGTCTTTCAAGTGCTTGCACTTGGCTATGTCTGCTGCACGCACAGTCTGTGGCCCCAAGTTTAGGCTTTCAACCGTGCGTGCTCTGAATGGCACCCTTTTGCTGTGGAGACTCTTCAGCGATACTTTGATTCTTCGGGATTCCGGTGAATCGAGGGTAGTGTTCCCCATAGCGGTGATCTTAAACGGGTCCAACCGCCCTGTAGCTCCAATTTGTTTGGCGATCTCTTCATCCATTAGTGAAACTGTTGACCCATCATCCAGCAGGGCGTGTGTATTTACAGCTCCCGCCGGTCCAATTACTCGCACTGGAATTATTTTTAAATAAGCTTGATGCTTTGACGCACTGAATGAGTTAGCTACAGTTTCTTGAGGTTCTTTTTGTTTGACCTCAGTCTTCTCCTTTGTATTGTTATGGAGAAGTCGATTGTGTGTCGCGGTGCATCCTTTTATTCCACACTTATTGGTTTTGCATTTGTGTGTCTGATTTCTATAACGTAAACAGCGGAAACATAAATTATTTTGCTTTGCGAGTTCCCATCTTTTGTTGATATCTGCTTCTTTAAATTTTTTACATTCAGATCCGTAGTGACCCTCCTTTTCACACACTCTGCATTTCGGAGACGGCTTAGTAGTAGCCGCGTGTGCTCTATGTACTGAACGATTGCTTTGTGCTTCGTTTATAATTTCTGGAGGCGCAAATGTACTGCAGAAGCGAGCTTGCTCGGTAATAAACTCGCTGAAGCAACCGAGGTCTGGTCTAGCACATATTTTTCGGTGCAGATTCTACTGCACCGAAAAATACCACTGGGCACGTATAGAGTTTGGCAGTTTGTCGGTGAGGTATCGTAGCAGCTCTGCGTTGACGAGGTAATGATCTCGCTTTAGGGCTCGAAGAGTGACGACGCTTCCCCTCACTTTGCTCGCGAATGTGCAGATGTCTCTGGGTGCTTCTGTACAACGTGCTAATCCTCGTAACTTCTCAGTTTCTGCTTGCGCGATTGAATCTGGACGCCCAAATTGTAGCTCCAGTTCTCGCATAATCTCATCTGGCTTAGCATGCCCGATGAGTTCTGAACTGACTGTTTCCAAGGCTCTTCCTTGTAGACTTCGTCTTAGTCTAGCAGTGTTTTCAATGTCATTGAAGTAGCCTCGGGTTGTTTCATAAATGGCACGGAATGAAAGCCACTCGGTATGTGCTCCGCTAAAGCTTGACAGTGTCATTATAGCTTTCGACGCTGCGAAAGTATGCGACGATAGTGGCGCACTCTCTAACTTTGATTTGTCAGCGAGCGCGGCTATAGCGGATGTGAGCTCCGATATAAATGGACTGAGCCCCCTGTCTTCACTTATGACGGGTTCCTGGTTAGGTTTCTTTGGCATAAGATCCTTGGGTACGTCTGCTGGATAGGAATCCTGGTTCGAGAGCTCCTTTTGGGGCTCACTGAGGTCGACAATGTCCGGGGTTGGCTTTGTGACGGTTTTATTAAATGGGGCCTTCCCTCCGGTGGTTGCGCCTTGATTTGACTTTTGTTTGGCTACATAGTTTTCGAGCCAAGATCGAACGTACTCACTTTTGGAGTGACCATCTTCATCATAGTCGTCTGATTTGTCTTCTTCTTCAGCCATCTGTAAGGAGATCTGCGCGAGTTCTAGTTTGATCTTCAATACTTCTTTTTTTTTTTTTTTTTTTTATAGGATAGGGTGACAAACGAGCACACGGTCCACCTGATGGTAAGTGGTTGCTGTGGCCCATAGACATCTACATCTATCCTCAATTACGAATCAAAATGCAGATGCGTTGTCACCCGTGAGGACTAAGATGGAATGCCTCGTTTCCAGTAAAAAGGGTCTCCGGTTCTCTGCACTCACCATACGAAATACAGCAACATTAAGCTACTATTTCACGCTGGTATTCTGTGAGAGCGTGGTCCCTCCCCGGTCGAGCCGACCCATACGTGCTACAACTATACTACTAATATAACTGCAGCATGGCTCTACCACGTACCTTCAAAATTCTTCTATTCTAATCTTCACGATCCTTCAAAATTCTTCTATTGGGCCTAACAGTCTTCTTTGACTTCGTACTGAAATCGGTGTGGCCCCTCGGTGGCTCTTCGGTGTGGGTGTCTTCCCGGGCTGTTGGCGATGATGCACAGCTAAAGTCATCGTTGCCTTCTATATGTTCCCTCTGCTTCGTTGTGCGGGCCGTAGTGGCCGGCGCGGGCAGGGGTATCCCCCCCCTCGGGGGGGCAGCATGGCGCCTCAGCGCCCTCTACCGTTGACGGTGAGCGTGGTGGCATCTGGAGGTGGACGGCGGCGTTACTGGGCGGCGTTACTGGCCGACGAACCTCCTTCCAGACCGACGGTCCACGCCTTGGCTTCCCTTCCTTGCGAACGGGTGATCGGCATCTTGAATCTGAAAAATTCTGCGATTTTAATACGGTGGTGACTATTTACCCGGTTCCGAAATACGAACGGATATATCCGGCTCGAAGGACCAACGAATGTGCCAGACGGGCGAAACTCTCCGGAGTAAATGTTGTCGAAGATACTTCGCGAGTCGCTCACGTCCTACACCTATAGGTTCCGGTGGGTACTCTCACCGCCGTCTTTGTTGGTGCCGCTGAAATATTGTGGACTGTGGTTAAAATCAAAATGCACGATTAATAAATACAAATAGCAAGGTAGTGGCCAGCGGTTCAACTTATTGATTAATCGCGAAATTTTATAACTATTATTT